AATAAATATTTATGAAAATTTCGATAATTTTGGAACATATTAATTAATTAGTGCATGGCCTTCTAATAGGGCCTTTGAACTTTTGCTCGGACATGGCCTTATACAGGGGGTGGCCTTCTAATATAGGATGGCCGTCTATTTTGTGGGGGGGTTTATATGATTACGTTCAAAGTTTTTTCCCTCACTTGTTATTGGTGTGGTAGTTGTAGTATTGAATGTAGTTGAAGTTTGGCTGGTGGCTGCCTAAATTCGAGTGTAAATCATTTGTTCAAGAGCTCAAGAGATCATTGTTTACAAAAATCTTGCCGAAGCAACCTCTAGTAAACATAAAAATATAACAGTTTTCATATATCTAACCTAATGTTTAAAGCTGTAAGCTGGTATTGGAAAAGTGATCTATACAATGATGTTGAATATTAGAGATTACACTTTTTAATCAGAAGCCGGTTTAGGCGGTAAATGAGCGTTTAGCTATTCGTTCTGTTAGCCTTTTCGATTAAAGAATAGTGATTAAGAATGTGAAGCTTACGTATTCTGGCACAGTACAAGAGCAGCAGGAAAGACAGATAGAGAAAATGACAGATTTACTCACTCAATGGGAAAAGTCAAATGTTCTAATATAATCGAAGATATACAAGTCTAAGGCAAACTGATTTTTCGGTACGCAGGTCTATGATATAATACATGTAGTATGTTTGAACTGCGAATGTGGGCTTTTCCTGTATTGTATATAACACTTAGTGCTATTTGGAAACAAAAAGGGTAGAAGTTAGATAATTATCGTCAATTATAATTTTATAATTACGTTGCAATTACAGTAGATTTGAATTTTGAACTTATCGCACTACTTCCATTGTCCATCAGGATGAATGATTTCATCTAGATAGTCGAATTAAATTTCGTTGGGACATGTGGTAAAAAATTTCTTTTAGTTTCTTACTCTGACCAAAAGTGTAACTTTTTTATTTTCATAGTGTGGAACACTTTATCTTAAAGTCCTATTTGAGTATTTTATGTTCGCCTTAGTTGGGAAGATGCTATTTAGTTAATGTTAATTTAATCAGCCAACTCTCAGACATTTTTATATTGTGTTAAGTTGTTTCAAGAGGTATAGAAATGAGAACTTCCTGCGTTCTGTAAATCAGATTCTCTAAGATTTTTCTCCTCTGTAAAATGAGCGAGAAAAAAGAAAAAGAACAACGTTCATTTATATCTACGTGTGGAGAATCTAGTTTACGTTCCACGCCTTCCGTTACTTTTGATGGCTTTTCATATCAGACCCATCAGGTTAAGACTTCTTCTATTACAGATAAGTAAATCACAAAAAGAATGCAGAACAATTATCTGACGCATGATCTGACAGCAACAACAAAGTTTCTAGCTCAACAAATGTCCAACAGAGTGATCACTCTAAAAAATAGTGTGTCATATCAACATGAAGAAAAAAATAAAGTTCATGCAGAGTCGGGGAGAAGTGCTTTTTCATATTCAACACACTCGATAGCCCAGTAGATTTTCTATTTTTGACGAGGGATGCTGCCAAAAGTTTAGTTCATTTTTTCGTCCATTTTTAAGGTTTTTGGAAAAAGAAATTTCTTTCTGAGAAGTTCGCTTCCCTAAATCTAAATATGTCGCTTAACAATCTCTAAGAGCCCTGCTTTTCGAGACAAAGTTTGACCGTATGCAAGTCATACCCAAGTCCATTTTCTCATCACATATTGTGCCGCGAGTCTCTTTAACAATTCGCGGCGAGATCTGGGAACGCTTTCATTGTAAAACGCACGAAATAAGACGCGGTTTTGTCGCGCTCATACAAAAGTCAATCTTAACTCTCGAATATTTAACCGTGATCGTTGTTTATTCATGTTTTTCGTCTACTAATAATACATAAGTCACGGCTACTCTTCAGGCGAACACGGATAAATTGCGATTCGCCAACTCGCGACATGCCTAAGTGAAACTTATATTAGTCCCGGTGCGATTCCTTTTTTTTTGACTACCACTCTTACCCATTTCTGATGATGATTGATTACTAATTTTCGAAAAACAGGGTGAGTTATATACTAGGCGTCTAAGCAAAACAAAACGGTGAATAGGATTTGTACCAAAGTCGCGCCGTGACGTGTCATGTCGCAATTGAAAGAGGAAAACACGATTGGGACGTGCGTTGAGTGAATGTAACAGAACCATGGAGTGAAAAATTTTAGCACGATAACAGAGCGAGATCCACGTTCCCGCCGTGAATGATACAAGACAGTAGACTTGGGTTATGCACGTAAGGTAGCTAGATATCCTATAATGACATACAACGACTGAATTATACTGTGTAAATCTTTCACGAAAGCGTCCAGAATACTATAACATATCTCTAGTCTTTGAAATCGATATACTAGAGTACTCTTTGCCGCAAATGTACAAAAACGATTTTCTACGCGTAGTTTTATTCAGAATTTCACTTTCTAGCTTCAAACGAATAAACGCTGTCTTCACTCAAACTCCGATCATTCTTTATAATAGAATAAAACTTCTTTCATTTACCATCATGAGGTTTGCTGGTGTTAATTGTTGAAAGCACACAATACAATGAACTTCTAACTCAGTTGGCGGATTTTTTTGTATTATTCCATGAACGTGCATCTTCACCAGCGACACAGGTGTTAGTGGCAATGCACTAATGTCTTGTTTACCTGGTGCTGTTATGTAGACTAATTGTGTTCCATTGGAATATGTTTGTACAGTCCGATCAGGATTTAAATAGGTAATAGTTAATAGCTTTATTGTATGTCTTGGACAAGAGCACGATTGTAAAGCACTCGAAAAACCTTGAGCAGTTGGTTGTGGTGGTGTCCAATACCAAACGGCTGAGGGTCCTATGCTTCCTGTACTACCCGGTTGAATTCTTTTTGAATGAATTTTAATAATGGATAGTATACAGGGTATTTCATCTTCAACAATATTTAGACAGGCTTGACCTAAACAATATAACAGAATATTCTTTCTCAGTAGATCAAGGCCGAAATTATTGAGATTTGACCTAGTATATATGCACGATCAAGCTTTTATTTCCTGGAGTAGCATTAACAGATTCAATACTTGTTCGCTCTATGAATGATTCACCTATAAGCTTGTCCAATCACAACGGTGCTGTTTTAGACAATTCATTACAGTTTTATACCACATTACAAAAGAGCAAATATAGCAGCAAATGGGTAATTGACCTCACCCTAAAGAATTTTTTTAATTTGTATTTTCTGGCTGGATCTGTTTCACGTTGATTCTGCGAAGTTCGTAGCGAATAATCGTTATGATTCAGTTCTACTAGTTGTCATTCGGAAAAGACAAACTATATCAACACTGATTTATGAATGAGTATAGATGAAAGTATCATGAATAAAACAAATATTCAATATAGCTGTCGACTAAACGGAACAATCAGCTTCTTCCTTAAGAAACGTAATAACGTCAATTTAGACAAAGAACGAAAGTACGATTAGACAACTTATGTAAGACTAGGTAAAGTTTAATATATCACCTAGCTTTCACTCTTTGTCTGTATTTATTGACCTTACACCATTAGCGTCAACTGATAAAGCCTCTTAAAACTGAATAGAATTGAAAAAACACGTTGCTATGAGACATATAATATGGTTGTAAAACTATGTATTAGAATAAGTATGTTTAAAGAACGCTTAATATGCCAATAGAATGAAATATACAACTTTTTTAGTTATTTGATAATGCACTCAGCGAAAGGGCATTAATATATATTCTTACTGAAAATTTTGAGTCGAGAGATTAAATATAAAAGGAATTATGCGATATTTATTTTGACTGTGACAGCCAAGAATGACTATATTCCTTAACAGCTTCCTCGAACAAGCTTCAAGATGAAATATGTAGAATTGTAGTTGTTCTTTCAGATTATGCCGTCAAAATTCCATAAAACTGCTTTACTTCCATTAAAAAAAAATTGTATTAAAAAACAGCGACTTTTTCGTGTGAAAAATTAAAAGACTATTAAATGTTTTTGTTGATGTTTTTAGTCAAAACGGTCACTTATGTTTCAAATAATCATGTACTAATAACTAGCACAAGAACATAAAAATACTCATTTGCATTGACCATGAATGGCGATTTCAAATGGATCTTGGATCTTGGCGCTCGTTAGGATTTAGCCAATTTCCCAGCTATCAGTAATACTACCTACAAATCTGTGCTTTGTGCCTAGGAGGCATTAAAAAACAATCGGACAGCAAGTAAAATAGCTTTCAAACTATCCTAGTAACTAAAACAATCACTATACAGGTTCAAAGAGAAGAAAAATAGTGAATGCACTTAAAATCGCGCCCCGACACCGAGATTCGGGCCGCTACAAATAGCGAGTTGTGCTGACTCCCGTCGCGTAAGCAGGAGACGCGACGCGACGATGTCAGTGTACGTAGTTCTATGCAGGATCAGATCCCGAGAATAGCAAATATATATCCCATTCAGTAGTATATCGCGACAAAATAGCGATCGCTAAGATCGCGACTCTAAGAGCAATCGCTTTACGCGATCGCGCGGCGCCATTAGAGCGCCAGTCGCGGCACGACACCAACGCAAAAGTTGACTTGAGGTACATTTCCGAAAAATCTCCCGAAACGAATAAGTGTATAGGAACGAACATACTATCAGATACACAGAGATATTCAGCATCCTTTGCTAAAACCAAATGTTTACACTTATCCTACTGACGAAAAATATATTTTTAAAACTTTCTAATTATTCACTTGAGCAGCTTAGCTTGTTACTACTTCCAGTACGTCTAATGTTGTAGAGAAACAGCAAACACTTATTTCAGAAGGAATATATAACTAAAATCTACGGAAATTCTCTATCTTTTGGCATCCAAAAGAAATTTCTGATCAAGCTTAACCAGAGAAAACAGCCTTGCAAAGGCTGGATTTAAGCTGGACCTCCCGTTATTATCGAAAGTCACAACGGGGACGGACACACATCATTATATATAATGATGTGTGTCCGTCCCCTAATTAGGGGAAAACAGTCAGACACTGTTTGAGTGATAAAATATAAAAGGAAACAACCAATCAACAATATTGTGATACAAATCAATTTGCCTTTAGATTAAAACCCTAAGAATAAGTGTTAGTCTGTTTGTATGCATCGTATACATTTCTACACTGTAAAAAATAGTCGTAGATTAATAAACTATCAAAAAGGGTTTATTGGTCTCAATAAACCCTTTTTGATAGTTTATTAATCTACGACTATTTTTTACAGTGTATCTGAATTTCCATGTTTCTGAACTTTGTACTTCATTACTTAACCTCTCCTTTTGCCTTTAGTAAAACTAGCTGTGTTTCGGATTCAGTTTCAAGTCTCCTCAAAAAACCAAAAAGCCATGGGCAGATGTTGTTCGAAGGAACTCTGCGTCACGCTAGCCTTCTGGCCAGAAATGGGTAGTACCAGATAGTCTTCAAAAGTAACTTGTAAAGATTTACGTACTCGATTGTTCATAACAGAAAGAAAGTAATACATGGATATTTGACGTTGACGATGTAGATGGATAAAATTTTAATAAAATAGCTGATGCATGGTAGTATGGTGGAAAGCCTGTTATTGTTTGAGTATCTGATCCGTCTGGTGTAGATAATAAAGGAGATGTACTTAACGCATTCTGACTATTGTCTGCATAGAAAAATGCGACATGATCAATATTCTTTGCATTAGTAATACTTATTCTTTGTAAAGCGGTTACATCGTTAGCAATCGGACCACGTAAAATCCTATAATACCATGTTGGTATGCCATCGTGAGACTGAATTTCTGTATTAGTATTAAGTGTTGTTTGTTGGCAATCGCGCATAACACCTGGAGAATTTGTTTGAGTATTGCTTCCGAAAAAAGACATTTGTTTATTCAGACTTGTAACTATTTGATTGACGTCTGCAGGACTAGGATTGACGTCTGCAGGACTAGGATTGACGTCAGCAGGACTAGGATCGACATCTGCCGGGCCAACAATTTTAAAATCTTGAGCAAGAATCGTAGAATTAAAAGTCGAATTACCACGAGAAACGGTTGGTTGTACACATAGATTTAGACCTTTATAAAAGCATCAAAGTAAGTACCAAATGTTTGCAGCGCTCGAACAGCATGGCGTGGTTACTATGTTGTCGTCACCTACTTGTGTTAGCTGGTTCTGACGTTGTCGTAGTTGAAGTAACAGCTAAAAATGAAAAGATGATGATTTTTGATGATTGTCTGAAACGATGATGATGATGAACGGGAAGTGTCAAACTTGTCGCACAATGTCTTCAGCTAGCTACTCGTCGTCGTAGTCGAATCAGCGACACATGATTATCTAGGGCCATGTCTCACATTAGCTTCGTCAATCATCTGAGCCTGTACTCTAAAAAGAACCATCGTGTACAAATCCTAAAAGGATTCAGAAAAACGTCCCAATCAGATTATCTGGGGAGTTTTGACGCCTACGATATCTATTTTGGTATTACCAAAATAGGTATCGTAGGCGTCAAAACTCCCCTGCTAAACCTGGTCTGATGACAGGTAATAAACCTTAAGAAGGGTTTAGAAGAGAGTTTTTCACATCTATGATACCTTTTTGAGTAGATGACTGGGACACTTTCTAAACTCTTGAAAGTGGTTTAGTAGAGGAGAGAAATTTGTACGCAAGACCTAGCTTTCCAAACATCTCCTTCAAAATCCGTTTAAAAAAAACGCACTCTCTGGAAATGATTCTGGTCATGAAAGCGTGTTTCCACGTATTCTCTTTCGAATAGTGAAAACCAGAGCTCTCTACGGCCAGGCCAAGCGTAACGGACGGAAAAATTTGACGCACTCAGACAAATATTTCGATGACAGCAAAGACTACCGAGTTGAAATTTTTCTCTGTGGTGGTGGTATACTATGAATTCTGTCTCTGGTAAAAATTTCAACTCATTCGGTGCATAACTCACTGAGCAGCGAGCAAAATAGTGCATTCGTAACAGACGGAAAAAATAGAAATGAATTAGCAAGGCTTGCAGAAATGTCTTTTTTACTAAGAAAGCAGGTGTGTAAGAAAACAGTAGTTCACATAAAAAATGTAGAGAATTACTTGAGCGATCGAATGGTGTGATTGGTTTTAAAAAAATATGTTATCAGCGTTCCATGGTGCAAAAAAGATCATCGTAACAGGCAGAAATATAAGAATTTAAGAATAATTGCGGCTAGCATGTTAAGAATTTTAATATAAGCTTTATATTAAAATTCTTAACATGCTAGCCGCAATTATTCTTAAATTCTTATTCTTCTCTAGGCATGAGCGGTAACGGTAAAAGAAGTTTACCGCGGTAAAATGTTTAAGTTTTTATTGTAAGCCGGTAACGGTAATTAAATTATTTTTACCGACTTTTTTTCGAAAATTGATATTACCGAACTTTCCTTAGTCATCGGTAAATTACCATCGGTAACGGTAAAAAGATTTTTATCGAACGTTACCGCGGTAAAATTTTGAGATTTTTTACCGGTTTCAAATTACCGCGATAAAAGTTTGAAGTTGTTACCGAAGCGTCGATAACGGTAACACGTTTTTACCGTTGGCGCACATGTCTATTCTTAACCTTGCCCATAAACTCTCAAAATGTTATAGACGGAAATATTTCTTTGCTGTTTTATGTCACGCTTTTTTATATATATTTAACAATGAAAGAACATATTTTACATAAATAGAAGCTATTTATCAGGAAACAAAGCATGTTTTCATGACCTATCATGAAAGACAGCATTGATGTCTGAGAAAATTTAACAGCTTCGAAACTCTTAGTTGACATATTTCCCTACTTGTGAATTTTTCCACATAAAAAGTGCACCACATTCCAGATAGAGCACGATGTATCTACGATAGATATATCTTGCTTATTTCTCATAGAATCATATAGAACAGACACAAAAATCAAAATTTTCAACAACTGCTAAAAGGATACAAAAATCACTAGAGACATACATAATAGGTCACAAAACCGGCGCATTTTCTCGTTTTCGTCTGTTATGAAAAAATGGGTATTTTATTTCTCTCTCTAAACGTTCCTCACGTTTTTATTGTCAACTCATATCATGTGAAAGTACGTTCGACTGGCTATCTAACGGTGGTACTTTTTAGTAAAAATAAGTAGAACTGTTGATGGAAAACTTCGTAACAGACGGAAATGGAGCCCATTATTGAAAATTTCAATACTGAAATTTTATTCAACGACTCGGTGAAAAGAAAAGAGTAAATAGTGAATTTTGTAGAGCTCGACTCCATCAAGAATACACTTGTGTCCAGCGAGATAGCGAATCATGACACAAATTATTTGATTTTTCTTCGTGAAAAAATTTTTTTAATATTAACGTTAATAGTATCATCTCATAATTCTTCATAGCTTGTCGGATACACAACCCTACATCGAACGACTGTTTTTCTTCCCCCCTCATCTAAAATGAATAGGTTCTTCTGCGACGTGCTCGCGCAACTCTCCATTTATTTTCCGAGGACCAAGTAGCCAGAGGCGACCTGAGACAGACATGAGCTTGAGCGGCCAAGAAGACAAAGACAACCCGTCTACCGCGTCGCGCTTCTTCCTTCTGAACATCATTCTGCCACCGTCAGAGTTCCACATACGTGTCTCATCTATTTAAAATAATTGCTTAAAACATTGTCAAATGTGTGAATACATTTCTGGACTAAAAACAGAGAAATGAATAAAGAACGTGACAAAGTCTATATAAAAAGTGTTAGGCAGTTTTACAAGCGTCGGCCTCTTAGGAGAGACAAAGCGAAGCCAGACAGTCTAACGTGTCGTGCTCGTTACTTCTTGATCATGTGATCGACGGATACGTGGCTGAGGTCACCTACACTCTAAAAAAAAAGCGTCGTTTACTAAACCTTAAAGGGTTTAGTAAGCGAACTAAACCCCTTAAAAAACCCTTAAAGGTTTTTTCGAAAGGTTTATCATCGATCTTAAACCTTCAAAGGTTT